GTAACGCTCCGCATAAGGGTCTCTGAACTACATCAACCGGGTGTAAAAACGTCACATCAGCCACGAGAAATAGCTCAGGTGCTCTAGCGAGTGCTCACTTAAAGCCAACAAAACATCAGCCTTGCACCCTCTAAACCCTCCTCGCCTCCCCCTACAGCGAGGTTACCCTGGGACGGGCACGGGGGGCCCAGCACCGCGCACGCGGAGCATCTGGTACTCGCGGGAGGAGCGAAGGATTCCTCAGCACATGTCAGGCTACAGAGGTCCGCGGCCCTCTGAGCTCTGCCGTGCTAATTGATGTTATCTGCATTTCACTGGGTGATTATGTGTTATTATTTCTACCACGGGACTGGTGAGGTTCCCAGCCACAGAGCAGAATGCTGCTCCGTTACATGCTGTAGAAAACCAGAATGAAATCATCCCCCTGTGGCAGAATTAACCACCAAAGGAACTACGGATGAGCTGAGAGCAGCAGCGATTCTGAGGCAATGAAATGTGCAGGGATTTTGGAGGATGCTCATGGATGATGAATTTTGCATTTGCAACGTCCCGGCCAGGTATCTCATTAGGAAGGTGCTGCCTCACCCACCAGGGAGCAAACCCACATCGCGTGACCTCGGCACTTCATCAAACTGTTTTACAGGATTAGCGGAAACAAATGATACAGCATTACCTGACCAAAAAAAAAAAAGTGTTGGGAAATAAAGGAAGAAAAATACATCTTAGTACAGTGAGTCTGCAGGTTGGGAAGAGGCGATGAGAGGAGGGGGAGTGCCTGCCCCAGGGTCTGGCTCCTCTGCACCCACCAGCACCCTGCGCCCATTGCTGCCTCCCGCATCCCCACCTGCGGCTGCGCGGAGCCTGGGCAGGCCGGGCTTACAGCCCCGCATTCGGGCAGGGAAGAGACCTGCTGGGCCACGTTCCCCTTCGCTAGCGCTGGGATATTCCTTCCAACAAGCCCTGCAAGTATTTTGCTCAAGCTGTTTTAAATTGCATGTTTATAGCCCTTGATTAGGTGGTAAAATCTTTTGGAGACGGCAATCCCTGCCCTGGTGCCTGCCATGCGTTTGATTGAGCCTCCGCTCACTCCCAGATTAAAAATAACAAAATTTGTTCTTCTATCAAGAGCTGCAAAAATCTTTGGCCCCAATTCCGCTGATGCTTATATAAATCTCCGTGCTGAAGCGTGCCCACCACTTCTCACAGGGTTAGCTCGCGATTGCTGAAGGTGGACGTGGGAGCAAAGTCAACCTGCCGCCTGTGAATCCAGAGCAGAGACAGCGAGGGAAAAGGGGGTGCAGCCTCGGAGGCATAAAATCGCTCTTGTCCTACAGGACTTATTTAATTGCAAAGCACTGAGCTTTCCTACGTTCAGAAAGCTCCCGTCTCCCTGACACACAGACAATTAATGCTTCAGGACTGAATTATAAAGCCACTTCTCGATATATCCAGCACTTTTCCTGTAAGCCTCGGTCCTTCCCCCTGAAAGCAAGAAATCCGAGAAGCTTTTCTGCACATGCAAGGGTTGTTGGTGTGGGCTCCATGACAGACTCACCATTAAAATGGGAAGATTTTTTATCTGGGGGGTCTTGGTGGCCCCACAGCATTTGTCACTGGCTTTGCCCTGCATTGCCATTAACCCCTCACCTGCTGCTTGATCGCTGGGGCCCTCACACCTCACCATCTCAGCAGAGGCCAGCGAAGCAGCCGACGAGCCCCTCACGACAGCAACGCTACCGATTCCACGTCAGTATTTTATTTTGTAGGTTTGGGTTTGTTGATTTTTTTTTTCCCCTGATAGAAACCGTTAATTGAATTTGTCTGCCCGTGAAGAACAAGAGGCAGCTCACGCTGGGCACCAGCTGAGCTCAGCGCAAGTCCTCTCGCCACAGCCGTGCCCAGCGTGGCACCGACGGCTGCTCCAGCTCGGTCCCACGCTGCCAGGGCCCGGCAGCCCCACACCCAGCCCCGGCCTGGCACCCCTGGAGCTCCCCCAACGCCACACGGCTCCAGCTCCGCAGCTTCCAGTGCCACCCCAGTGCCGCTCAGCCTGCGGGCAGAAACAGGGTTTGCTTGCTAGAGCAATGCTGAGAAATTAATTTCTCAGGGTCAGGGTCAGGATCGTTCCTCTTTTGCCCTAAGAACTATTTGAAACCAGGTGCAGGGGAAAGAGAGCTTGTAAAAGCTCCTAACAAGCACTCTTAAATCATGTGGTTAAAGACCTCAGAGTGAGTAGCTGGAAGCAAAGTTTCTTTATCCTTCTCTCCCCCGGACTGGGCTGTGCAACTGTTGCTTCTGTGCTTTGTGGGAGTGAAATCAAATGTCAAATATTCTGCTTTGGAAGAAGTTGGCAATGAAACACGAATGGCTCACGGAGAGCTCCAAAGGACTGCGGATAAATTGGAGCGAGGCACAGACGGGGCTGGGACAGGAGCCAGGGGGAGCGGGGAAGGACTGTGCCTACAACCACAACTCCAGATTTTAGGATGAAGCGACTACATTCCCTAATGCGTTTCAGCATAAAGCTGATCCTAGCTGCTGCTAGCACAGAAGGAAGATGGGCTTCATACCAAAATTCTGCATCTACTCCTTGTTGGGCAGCAACCACACATCTCAGTTTGTTCAGCATAAACACACGGTCCGACACGGGGGGGGGGAGCGTCGCGTCTCGTCGCTGGTCTGTGCCTGCCGCCACACCCGCGGGAGCCCAGGACCTGCTGCCGATCCGTACCGGGGAGCTCACGTTTCTCACCCAAATTCCACAAAACAACCGCATTTTTTCCGAGATGTGTTTTGACATAGGCACGTATCCTGTTTTTCTCAGCAGATATTTAAAATCACAGGCTCTGGACAATCCTCCCCCACTATGTTAACATGCAGCAGATCAACGTTAAGAACAGCTGCTCTCTGTGTTATTTTACTGTGGCAGAATTTCATTTTTTTTCCAGATTTCAAGACTTCAGAAGACATTTTTACTGTATATTCTCAGCACTTCTGAGGGCACTTCCCACCATTTGCAGCCTCAGCCCTCTGAAGCTGGTGGACCTTTCTCCTTCTTTTGGAACCGACCCCTTTTCAATCCTCAGGCTCCTTTATATAGCACTCAGGAAAAATATATATTCTCCTCTCCACTTTGCTGAACTATCACATCGCCAGGATTAGGGCAATGGGGTCACAGGAGCCGACAAAATCCATATGGAACAGCACGTGAGGACTTCTGGACCCAAAGCACGCAGCAAGGCAAAACACAAGGGCAAAAGGCAAATCCTACAGCGCGTCCTGCAAGGGATGAGGGACGGTGTCCCCCCGCTCCCGGAGCCTCCCCCAAAGCACGTGCTTTGCCAGAGCCGTGGATGGAAATGGAATTAATGTTCCAGGAATATTCTATTATTTGCTCATTCTCTTCACATCTTTTTGTTTCCCAATTAAGCAAATTAGCACTTTGATGAATATTAAGATGCTCTCGCCTCATAAAAGATGAGTTGGAGGCATTCCCACCGGATTCTCCTCCTAAGGAAAACGGTTCCTCAACTGTTTGAGATACACGCTGGATCGTTTCCTCCCTGGCATAAGCACAAGGAGCGCATGGCTCCTGGAGAAAATGACCACAATGTCAACATTTTAATAAAATAATTTGATTTCAAAGTTTGCACAGATCCTCACTATTACCACCTAATTCAAGTCCAAGCTGGAATGGGGATCCTAAATCTGCAGCTGTTCATGGCAGTTTCTGTCACTGAGTTGCGATAACAAATATATAAATGCCGCCTTTAACCACAGGGATTCATTCAGTGAAGTCTTTCAGCAGGGAGAAGACTTTGCACTCTTCAAAAGTATTTATTCCCTGGCTTTAAATAACTTTATAACCGAGAGAAGTATTTGCCAATTTTTTGGGGTTTGCCACAGGTTAGGAAAACAGTTTTGCTGGCTTTGGGAGGAGCTGTGAGCTCCCTAGTGCAAGGTGAGCGGCTACGATAGCTCCTCGCTCTCTACCTCCATCAGCAGATCTTTGAGCACTTCACACCGATACCTCTCTGTAGCATCTCTCAGAGCAGGTGGGAGGGAGGACAGATACTTGTTTACCAGCAGACAGGGAAAGCTGTTAGTGACCAGAGGGTTAACTCAACACAGAACAAATTTATTAGCATCCAGACATCTTCAGATGCATCCCTTCTCCTGTCTCCACCACCCACGAGGCATTGGCTCTATTAATCTGAATTATACAGTCATGAGTAATAGCCAATAAAATGCTCATCAGAGTCAGTGAACCCAGAAGTCTGGCTTAATGGTGGGGACTTGGTGTGTTTTCTTGTCTCAGGGAAGAACAGAAGGTCCCAGATTATTTACATTGTACTGGCTCCCCTAAGCAACAGACTCCTGTGGACCATCCGGCTGTAAATCCCTTCCATAACCATTCTGGTTGTGTGGTTTTGGTCCGGGGCCTCCTCCAGGGCGGCAGCAGAACTGGCCCGGCAGCGCACGCACAGCGCAGACGCGGTGTTAACGTTGCTGGCAGAGAGCACGTACCCACCCCACGTCTGGTCCCGCCTCTGCGTGCCGGCAGTGCTCGCTCCCAACCGCTTAAAACACCCCGGTAAATAAATAAATAAATAGGTAAAGCCAGCATAAAGGATGCTCAAAGCTATGCAAAACCACAGCCTGCCAGCCTCGCTGCAGGGAGCGCGGCCGTAACTCTCGTGGCGCAGGATCTCGTTAGCCAGGCAGGGATGGTTCACAGCCCCAAACCACATTTCCCCCGCGGCAGCTCAGCTCAGTTCCCAACGCCTGCAGACAGAAGTGGGCACAACCCTCCGCCCCGTGCGCTGATGGCAGTCTCTGGTCAGAGGCAGATAAAACCGAGCAAATGCTGGTGCCCCACCACCCCGTCCTGGTCCCAGCACCACGGGGCTCAACGCGCAACCTCGGCTCCGTGTGCGCCAACAACACGCTCCTTACGGAGGGAAGGTGCAAGCGGGGAGCTCCGGGAGCAGACGCCTTACCTGTCGCTCTGACATGACGTACAGATACTTCTGATCGATGGAGAAGGCCATGTCTCGAAGGACTGGGCTCCCGTCCTTGAAAACTGTCACCATTTCATACTGAATTCCACCATGGGGAGGACCATCTGCTCGGATCTGGAAGAAGCACAAACAGATTACAGGTGACTTCATAGCAGCCAAATTCAATTTTTTATTTTTTTTTTTTTGGGGGGGGTGGGTGGCAGGGAGGGGAGGAGGATGAAGCAAGAAAAGGAATCTAATTCAAAATCTCAGCTTGCAACCTGGAGACAGAGGAAAGAGCTAGCAAGCAACGGGCAGGAGTTAAAGCAAAGGCTCCTTCTCCAGTGAAGTTGAGGTGATTTCCTCAATCCATGAGAAAGTTTTGCACTCGCAAGGGGAGCACGCAGGCTGCCGGTGTGCTGTGACTGACCACGGGTGTTCAAGAGTAACAGAGATTGTAAACTTTGTAGATTCTCTCTAAAAGAAGCCTAAAAGAAGACGCCAAGGTTCCCCAGGCAGCACAACAAGGCCAAGACACAGCAGAGATTTTTTTCTTCTCCAGACACATGACTTCTTTATGATGTCTTAGACAATCTCCATCACCTCTTGCTGCCACAGAAGCCTCCTACAATACCATCCCTGCCTCAAAATTTGGAGACGGTGCTGCCATCCCATGAGTTCCAAATTTGCAGGATTCTGCAAGGTGAAACCCGTCCAGCCCACACCTCTGAGGAAGCAGGGAACTAACACAGTGGCCACGTGGCCTGTTCAGCGTGACGGGCTCCCAGCATCCACCCACCCCACCAGAAGATAACTCCCTGCCCCTGCAAGAAAACCTGCCCGAGCTGTGACAAATCCCATCCCTGCCAGGAGTGGCGGGTGTTCAGGACACGCCAGCCCTCCCAAAAGTTAATAATTTACGGCCTTGGGGGCTGTGCGAGGGGAAGGGAGGAGGATAAACAAACAATTGACATTGTCTTTCCTACCCGGATTTGCATATTTGGATAGCCATTTGATTGCAACACGGTGTCTACATCGCTGCGAACACTGGCAGGCGTCAGGCAGGGAGACGGGAGCAGTCAGGCGAGCCAAGGGCTCGGTGGGGCCACTGCCGGCCCCGCGGCTCGCACGGCAGCGGCGCTGCCAGACGGGGCCGGGGCTGAGCCGCGCTGCCCCGCGAGCAGAGGGACGCCCGGGGGGACTGCCCGTCCCTGGAAGAGCCTCGTGTCGCCGAGATGCCATCTGCCGCAGCCTCATGCCGAGCTGTTTTGTCGCATCCCGTTTTGCTGCTCGATTACTCCCCGCCTGGCTGCGGAACGGAGGAAGAGGCACGAAGAGCCGGCTTTGGACAAGGGTAAGCCTTCAGAAGAGGCAGGATGGAGCCGCAGAGAGGGACATCTCTTTTTTCTAGTTCACGTCCCCAAGAGGTAAAGAGAGCAGGTTGTTAAGCATCTGAAGATTTATCTGAGAAATGCGCCACCCCAGCTGGAAACACCAGGGTATCTTCGCACTCATCAAGGAGAGATGCTCCCCTACACCCTCCTCCAAATAAATCCTCTTCTTGGAAAGAGCCTTGATGCCTCTTGCTACATAAAGATATGTTGGGTACACAAAGACATTTATTTTCTCGATTTCTCTCCTTTCTCCTTCTGAGTTTTAATGATACAAAAGAACATCAGGTGTAAAGAATCCGAGTGGTCTGGTTTAACACCCATAGCCAGATACAGAAGCCTCTGGCAGGATTAAGCAGGCAGCCCAAGCCTGGCTCAAAAGCCCTGAACTTTCTAAAAAGAAAACTCCCCCAAAAAAGGCAGGAGGTCAAATCCCGCTTTAGCTGCCCTGTGTGAATTAGGATGCTTCACTGCCTTTATGAAATGCTGAGAACAGGTTGAGGCCAGTATGAGACCAGTGGTGTTGCAAACCCGAGCGATCGGCGCTGCCTCCGGAGCCACTGCCCGTGCCCGCAGCACTGCCATCTCCCACATCAGCCTGTGCCGCGCACGGAGGGACCGGGCTGCAAAATCCCCCAAGGAATAAACAACAGAGCCAGTGGGCTGTCGGGGACACACAGCCACCTCCACGCGAACACCTGATTAATGGCCAAAAGGGAATGGAAACGCCGGACATGAAGGATCAGCGGCCTTTGTGAAAAACAACTGTTTTCCAGAGTTCCCTCGGGGCACTGGCAGCTCGTTAAATTGAGCTTCTTTCTAGTAATGAGGTCAGGCAGGGCTAATAAAGAGAGATACCACTGGACAAGCCTCGTGCAGGCCAATTCCAACTGGGATTTGCGGCTCTGGGATGGAGACAGTACCATGTGCACGATGGCTCCTCCAGCCCGGAGAAGTGCGTGGAGCCGTGCCTGGCAGGGGTGTCCTGGGACGCAGCCGGAGCCCTGAACGGGGTGCTGGGTGCTGCCTGCACCCTCCTGCCCCCCTCACCCGCCCCAGGCAGGAGTTGCAGCCTGGGGTCTCTCACCACGGTGAGATGGCTCCACGTTACTCACACAGCACAGGAGCAGGGGAGAGCAGAGCCCGCTGCAATCCTGCCCCGCACGCTGCGGTGTGTGTTACACCCCCCCGGTACCCCACTGCCCCGCGCCCGAGATGCACCCACTGACACCAGGATGCTCCACTGCATCTCTTCCTGAGGGTTTGGTTTCCACGACAACAAATCGTGATGCCAGAGAAGAACGATGATTCCTGTGAATGGGGAAGAAGAAAGGAATCATCTCCGCTTCTTGTTGATGTCTGAAGACAGAAATCATTCCTCTAACTTAGGGGTGCCCTTCCAGCACCAAACAACCCCTGAGCCATCACTAGAAGAGGGGTGTGGTACCAGCCCTGCAAGTCCGGCTTCACCCCAGAGCTCCAGGCACGGCTGCTGGGGGTCCTGGCTCCTTGTGTCCCCCTAATTCTCTGGGTTTGCCTCTCCCACGACACCATGATGGGGCACGGGAAGGGTTTAGGAGAAAGACACGCAGGGAAGGGGTGCAGGTCAGAATGGGTGGGAAAGCAGTGAAACGGGGAGAAGCGCATCGGGGCGGAGGAAAGCAGGTGTCCAGGATCAGAGACGTGTTCAGGCACCTGAGAGGCAGCGGAGCTTGGACGTGAATTGAAGTCGTTTGGGAGAGACACGGCGCTTTCCTCAATCGCTCCTGATGGATGTTTACAAACACGGCTTGAAAAGTGCCGAACGACATAATCTGCAAATCCAAATACCATCCCTGGCTCAGAGGACGCCGGGTCAGCGAAACACCCCACGTGACGGAGCAGAACGCAGCTCAGTTCGGGGAACTGCAGCCCTTCCGAGCCGCTGCGCAGATTTACGTGTCTAATACCCCCAGAGTACAGACCGCGGGCGTAAGCTCTGCATTATCTGAAGAGATTAGCAAATACCATATTGTGTCACGTATATGTCGCAGTGTAGCACCTGCCTATGAACCATTCAAGGATCCAATGTGACATGAAGCTCCAACATACCTGTTGTACTCAAGTTTCGCTTAAGTATTTTGCCCAGCCTATGCCACAGCTCAGATACGTCTGGATTCCCTTCCAGTTCTTCCCAGCAGACTCCCATTAGAAGATACTGAAACTCTTTGTAGGAACTTTCCATGATTAAATTACCTGTCTGTTTTCATTAGGAGTGTTTCACTGAGGATGACTCACGATGAAATGCCTGGTGCCAGAAAAAACAGCTGAATAAGTCCATGCATGAAGGGACCGATTCCCCACCCCAGATCCTAGAGACAGGACCACTCCTTAACTCCTCGGGAACTCCAGCTTCTCCCCAGGTCCGCCGGCGCCCGAGGGGAGATGGGGCCCAAAGCACCTCGCTGCTGGCTGCCCCCCTCCGCATGGAACAGCCTGGGAGGCGGGATGGGCTCCTGCAGTGATGCTCTTGGTCAGGAGGCACAAGGCGTTTGGCTGAACGTGCTCAGCTTTGTATGCAACGGTGACAAAGTGAAAAGCCCAGACAACCCTGGAGCCTTCGGACTGCTCCTTTCATGCTAAGGCTTTCTAGCCCTTGAGGGGGAATGCTATCAAATACCATGGCATTTGTGTAAAATGGACATTTCGGGTGGAACTGTATCAGCTCTGGGAATGTGCACCGGAGCGTTACTGCATCTACTGCCTGAAATAGAAACCAAAGACAACAAGGAGCAGCCTTCACCGCCAAGGTGCATCTTTGCAGAATTGCTGCTGCTTTGCCATTTCCATCTGCGCACCTCAGTTCTGAGGCATTTTCCATTAAGGCTTCCCATCAAGCTCTAGGATGGATTTCTTGCCTCAGTACTGCAAATTTAGCAAAAAGACTGTTACTGGCAGCCGGTTTCTGAATCAGGCTGGAGTGCAGTATAGTTTAAATAGCTTTTCCCTACCTCTTTCTTATCTGTGGTTCTGTAGGATCTTTCCTACCTAGGCCTGGTACTAAAAGTTTCTACAAGCAAGAGACTCGGCAAAGCAAAAGCTCCCCAAAGACAGGACAAGATAAATAAAAACCAGACCAGATTTTCTGTGTGTGCCTCTGCCAAATAGTCTTTGCAGGAAGGATTTACTTTTGCTAATCCAATTTAATTAAACTAGGCTATTCTACATTCACACAAGACGAAAAAGGAGGTGAGAAGCACGTGATGACCTGCCACGTCTGCTGTCCCCCACACAAACACCCTTTCTCACTTTACAGGGTTACCCATGCTGGCGTCTGCCTCCAACAGCCAGAGAAAAAAAAGCACAGAATTTTTTAAGAGGGGACAATCCACAATAATTGCACATTTCTACACGAGAAGTTTCCAAGAGCCCTTTTAGACCCTGTATGAAATCCTTCTGGGAGTTAAGTACCCCTCAGACTCCCTCAGAGCATCGCTAACATCAGCAAGCTGGTTTGCTGAGGCTGGTCCCCAGCAGATCTGGGATCCGGATCTGCTCCTGCGGATGCGCGGGGCCCTGCCAGGACCGCTGGCTCCATCCTCCCCGCGCCTCCATCTGCGGGAGCAGAAACCCAGCCCTGAAGAAGTGGCTGTCCCTGCACGCTCCTTCTGCAGGCAGGAACACCGGGAGTGATTCAGCTCACTGCTCTCCGCGTGGGAAGTCTCCCCCTTGAAATTAAAGTGAAATAGTAATCCCATTAA